AGGAATGTAGGTGGAGGTGGGAGGGAAGGGATGGTAGGGGAAAAACAAAGGAGGAGGCAACAATGCTTGATAAGAAATGTACTCATTACCTTGCTCATGTGATTGTAACCCCTCTGTACGGTATTTTCACAATGAAAAAACTTATTAAAAATTTATGGTATATTGTGTTTACTTTTTTTCCTCTTTTTACTGGCATATATTAATTGTACAAAGGTATTTCATTGTGATATTTTAATACATGCACACTTAGTATTTTTCAATAACTCTTAACAATACATGAGCTTATCAAAACCATATGAATACCCTGTTAGGTACTAATTACTCTGTTTTACTTATTTATTTATTTTTTTGGTCCGGTCGTGGGGCCTGAACTCTGGGCCTGAGCGCTGTCCCTCAGCTCTTCAGCTCAAGGCCAGTGCTCTACCACTTGAACCACAGCACCACTTCCGGCTTTTTTGTTTTTGCTTATGTGGTGCTGAGGAATCGAACCTAGGGCCTCATGCATGCAAGGCAAGCGCTCTAACACTGAGCCACCTTCCCAGCCCTGATTACTCTGTTTTAAATGGGAAGAAACTCAGGTTCAGAAGAATGAGGGTTTTGCCCTAAATTATCTACAGCCTGAGCTAACTAATTCCATAGCCCTGCACCGCGTAGATTCCAATATAGTTAACAACTCTCACTGCTAGAGACAAGAGTCAGACCCATGTCTGACTGAGTACACATAATTTTAAACATCACTGCCAGTTTTCTTTCTCTTAGACCAAGTCACAAAGGGCCTAGTATCAGAAGTCTGCTTGAAATTGCAACAATGATGTCACTGTTTATTGAGGTCTTTTTTGGTTTAAGATGGGTTTCACTATGTAGCCCAGACTTCAAACTCATGATCCTCCTACCTCAGCATGCTGTATCCTGAGGATTACAGGTGTATGCCACAAGATCAGCCAATTTACTGAGTTCTTACTACATGCCAGACACAACATGTTCTAAACTACATTATTTGCAGTGTCTCATTAAATCATTACAAAACCTATGAAGTACATATTACTCCTCCTATCTTATGGATAAGAAAAAGGGAAATCTTTCTCTTAACTAGAATTGCTGTGGGTAACTATTATCTACTCTAGGGAAACTCTTGCATTGATTTTGTTTTAATCTAATATGTATTTCCTGAACACAGCTCCCGCTGCCTACTTGCTGATTTTTGTTGTTGTTGATCGTGGGGCTTGAACTCTGGGCCTGGGCCCTGTCCCTGAGCTCTTCAGCTCAAGGCTAGCGTTCTACCATTTGAGCCACAGCACCACTTCCGGTTTTCTGGAGATAAGAGTTTCACAGACTTTCCTGTCTGGGCTGGCTTCGAACTGAGATAGATACTCATATCTCAGCCTCCTAAGTAGCTAGGATTACAGGTGTGAGCCACTGGTGCCTGACTGATTTCTTTTTTTGCTGTTTTTAGAGCTTGAAATCTGGGCCTGGGCTCTGTTCCTGAGCTTGTGTGCTCAAGGAGGGTGGTCTACCACTTGAGCCACATCCCCACTTCTGGATTTTTGTGATTAATTGGAGATAAGAGTATCATGAGGCTGGAAATATGGGCTAGTGGTAGAGTGCTTGCCTAGCATGCATGAAGCCCTGTGTTTGACTCCTTAGTACCACATAAACAGAAAAAGCCAGAAGTGGCACTGTGGCTCAAGTGGTAGAGTGGCAGCCTTGAGCAAAAGAAGCTCTGGGACAGTGATCAGGCCCTGAGTTCAGGCCCCAGGGCTGGCAAAAAAAGTCTCATGAATTTTCCTGCCCAGGCTGGCTTTGGTATTTGATCCTTAGATCTCAGTCACCTGAGTAGCTAGGATTACAGGAATGAGTCACAGGTGCCAGACTTCGTAAGCATTTCTTATGATCAAAAATCAGTACTTATATCTTATTCCCTTCCTTTTCCCTTTAAGACCCCCAGTCATAATCACATAGCTATTTCTGTGATATTGGGTAGTGTGAGTCAACCAGAGCGATGGATCTATTCTTTTTTGTACTAAAAATAGGTTTTTCAGACTATATGCCTGATGATCAGACCCTGAGTCATAGTGAATTCACAAAGGCTGTGACACTTTATGGGAACTTTACTGGATGACTAGTTTTTTTTCTGGACATAATACTTTTTATCTTATTGAAAAGTTCTGGGAAGGTTTAAAAAACATCCAAACTCACTGGCTTTGGAATTCATTAAAAAATGTTTTGTGTTTTTCCACTTTGGGCTCAAAATAACACTAAAGGAAACTTGTATTTATGATTAAGAACTAATAACAAAATTATTAGTGGAAGAGGCCTTGGCAGAAAGCAGGCACTTAAGAAACATTAGCTCTAAATATAGTATAAGGATAGTAGCACTTTAAATCTGGCACAAGATATTTTTATTTGTTTGATGGCACTAGGGATCAACTCTGGGATTTATGTACACCATACAAGCACTACAACCGACATATGACAATAGCCTCAGTATATGATTTTGCATAGTTCATCCAGGTGCTGTGGGCTCCTGCCTGTAATCCTAGCTACTCAGGGGGCTGAGATCTGAGGATCACAGTCCAAAGCTAGCCCAAGCAGGGAAGTCCATGAGACTCTTATCTCCAATTAATCACCAGAAAATCAGAAGTGGAGTTTGTGGCTCAAGCAGAAGAGTGCTAGCCATGAACAAAAACCCTTAGAGACAGTGCCCAGGCCCCAAGTTTAAGCCCCAGGACTGGCGTGCATGCACGTTTATGGGCATGCGTGTGCACGCACGCACGCACGCACGCACACACACAAGCGAATAGTTTTTACCGGGGGACTGGTGGCTCATGTCTATAGTCCTAACTACTCAGGAGGCTGAGATCCAGAGGATCCTGATTTTTGGCTAGTCTTTGCAGAAAAGTCTGAGAGACTCTCTTCAAAATAACCAGCATGGAAGTATGGCTATAGTAGTAGAGCACCAGTCAAACAAGCAAGCCCAGGGAGTGGGAAGTCTTGAAATCAACCATGATAACCGCATAATTTAAAAAGAATAGTTTCTCATTGTTTATATTTGGAGGTGGGGCATGTCTAATGAGGAACAAGGACCCATAGGAACTATGATACAATCAAGACAAGAAGAAAATGAAGATCTGAGTTGTTAAGACTAAGCAGAATGACAATGCCTCCCTCCCACATATTCTGCAAAGCATAAGTCCAATTTTCTAAGCATCTTTGTTGCTGGCCTTTCTCTTTAGAAGCTCAGCCAGGGCTGGGAAGGTGGCTCAGTGGTACAGTGCTTGCCTTGCATGCTTGAGGCCCTGGGTTCGATTCCTCAGCACCCCAGAAGCAGAAAAAAAAAGCCGGAAGTGGTGCTGTGGCTCAAGTGGTAGAGCGCTAGCCTTGAGCTGAAGAGCTGAGGGACAGCACCCAGGCCCAGAGTTCAGGCCCCACGACCGGACCAAAAAAAAAAAAAAAAAGAAGCAGCTCAACCAGGCTGCAGACATTCTGTTAGCTTCACTCTGACCTCTTTCTGGCTTTATGTAGCACATACTATGCAAGGCAAGGTCTTCAGGGCATGTGTCTCATTTCTATCTTGTTGTCTTACTTAGAGAAAAGGCCAAGCCTCTGTAGCCCTGAAGGAAAAGTTTTAGATGACTAACCCTCACCAGACCTCACTGCTGGAGAGGAGAGGAATGAAGTTTAATGCCTACACAAGGTGAGAAAGCTGCTTCCCATCAGCAGTTCAGGTTTTTATGCCTCAGGTGATCTCTCACGATTTAGCTACAAGGTGCAAGATTTATCAAACAGAGGCTGAGATCTGAAGATCAAGGTTCCAAACCAGCCTAGGCAGGAAAGTCCATGAGACTGTTATCACTAATTAACCACCAAAAAGCCAGAAGCGGAGCTGTGGCTCAAGTGGTAGAGCATTAGCCTTGAGCAAAAAACGTTCAGGGACAGGACTTAGGTCCAAAGTTCAAGCCCCAGGACTGGTGCATGCATGTGTGTGCGCACGCGCACACACACACACACACACACACACACACATGCATGTGTGTGCGCACGCACGCACACACACACACACACACACACACACACACACACACACACACACACACAGCCACGGAAGCAAGATAATTTCAAGAGAGGTACTTACTATAGCTGGGCCTTGGTGGCTCACGCCTCTAATCATAGCTACTCAGGAGGCTAAGATCTGAGGATTATAGTTTGAAGCCAGCCTAGGTAGGAAAGTCCACAAGACTCTTATCTCCAATTAACCACCAGAGAACAGGAACTGGAGGTGTGGCTCAAAGTGGTAGAGTGCTAGCCTTGAGCACAAGAGCTCAGGGAAAGCACCCAAGCCCTGATTTCAATCCCCACAACTGACAAAAAAAAAGAGGTACTTACTTGTTTACTTCCTTTTTTGTGTCCTTTGGGCCCTCTACCACTTGGTTCTTTTCCATGCCTTTAATAAGTGGAAGGAAAGGTGATAATGAGAAACACAGAAAGCTCATATCCCCCTTTTTATTCTGGTATCTACTCATCTCTAGGAAGTTGGCCCTGTTAAGTGAGATGCCCCTCCTTAGTGTTGACTACTCTCAACCTCTGTTATATTGAATATATATTCCCTGTTATATTGAATTGTTTTGTTTCCCATATTCTCCTTCATTATGAAAATTCTTTCTTCGAGGCAGGGTTATTATTGTTTGTTAAACCAAGTTGAAAACTGGTTAAGGCTCCTGAACAGGATTCAACAGCTGGGCATTTTCCCAGGGACATCTTGACTGATACCAGCTCATACAAACCTATTTGAATACATACATACCCTTTTCCAGGCCCACCAACAGAAACCACCTGCATGCCAAAGGATCCTCGACCTCTGGAGGATCTGCTGCCAGCCCACTGGCCCACCACCATCCCAGCAATCTCTAGTTTTCCTCCTTGAGGAGGGATTGGATGGAGACCTAGCAATACAGAAAGGAAAGAACAAATGAATGGGAAGTGTAGGATAGAACAAGAGGTTGAGCAAAAGATCCTACAACCTACTTACTCTTTTTCTGTGCCAGTCCTGGGGCTAGAACTCAAGGCCCAGGCCCTGTCCCTGAGCTTCTTTTGCTCAAGGTTAGCACTCTACCGCTTGAGCCACAGTGCCACTTCTGGCTTTTTGGTGCTTAATTGGAGATAGGAGTCTCACAGACTTTCCTGCCCGGGCTGGCTTTGAACCATGATTCTTAGATCTCAGCCTTCTAAGTAGCTAGGATTATAGGCATGAGACACTGGCACCCTACTCTACTTATGCTTATTTCTACTTATCTTTGATAAGAAGACTTTGTGATAGTAAGGGGCTGTGATAAGAAAATATAGGGAGAGAGATCTATACACACACATACTTTAGTAACTGAGTTGTGAGGGATTCATTTTTCAAATAAAGATCTGTCACAGTAGGAATCAGTATTGCTTTTTTATTTTATTTTCTTTAGGCTTGTAATGGGGTTTGAACTCAGGGCTTCAACTTGTTTGCTCAGTGTTTTGGCTCATGGCTGGTGCTCTACTACTTAAGCCACACCTCAAGTTCTGGCATTTTGCTAGTAAATTGGAGGTAAGAATCTCTCAGATGTATCTGCCCAAGTTGGCTTCAGAGGTTCTCAAATCTTAAGTCTCCTGAGTAGCTAGGATATAGCCTCACACTTTTCTTTTTTTTTTCTTTTGTCGGTTGTGGGGCTTGAACTCTGGGCCTAGATGCTGTCCCTCAGCTGTTCAGCTCAAGGCTAGTGCTCTACCACTTGAGCCACAGCGCCACTTCTGGCTTTTTTGGCTTATGTGGTGCTGAGGAATCAAACCCAGGGCCTCATGCATGTGAGGCAAGCACTGTACCACTGAGCCACCTTCCCAGCCCCTCAGACATTTCTTGAGAAAATGAATTATATTTCTTGTGGTTTGGGACATTTAATTATTTAATTTATTTAAGAAATTTTTGCTTCAGGTTGAAAATGTGGCTCAGTGGTAGAGTGCTTACCTGGTATGCAGGAAGCCCTGGGTTTGGTTCCTCAGTACCACATAAACAGAAAACGCCCAAAGTGGCTCTGTGGCTCAAGTGGTAGAGCGCTAGCCTTGAGTTAAAGAAGCTCAGGGCCAGTGCCCAAGCCCTGAGTTCAAGCCCCAGGACTGGCAAAAAAAAAAGCCAAAGTTGGGGTTGATGGCATAGTTCACTTGGTACAGTGCTAGCCAATAAGCAAAAGTATCAGGTACAGAGTTTGATTCCTAATCTCTGACCAAAAATAGAAAGAAAAAGCTAACTATCTGCAATTCATTTAACAGGTTGCTAGAAATGAGACCTTTGTTTATATAAAAGTGAGAGACCTAGCCAGGTGCCAGTAGCTCACACCTATAATCTTAGCTACTAAGGAGGCTGAGATCTGAGGACTGTGGTTTGAAGCTAGCCCAAACAGGAAAGTCTGTGAGACTCTTTTCTCCAAGTAATCACCAAACAGCCAGAAGTGAAGCTGTGGCTCAATTGGAGTGTTAGCCTTGAGGGACAGTGCCCAGCACTGGCACACATGAAATAAATAAGTAAGTAAAAAAATAAATAAGTAAGCAAGCAAACAAATGAATAAATTGAAATCTAAGGAGCTAGGAACTAGTCTCCTAAGAGGGACAAGAAAAACGTACTTGACAATCTTATTGTATCCTCTGAGGAGGCAGGATGCTCTTGTGAGCCACCAGTAACTGAAGTACCACTGGTACTGGGGCAATGGGGAGGACCTTCCAGGAATGTGGCATTAATCAAAGTGACTAGTGAGACTTATATAATAAAATAAACACAGAAAATCAAATGAGAGATGTATTTTTGTCACCTTAAAGGTATAGAATGGCTGGCTCCTTCATTTGTAAAACTAGACCATTATTTGAATCAACAAAGGGTTATATTGGAGCTAACTTTCATACTGCTCATGAAAGCCAATACTTAAACTAAATATCCATGCTGAATTCTGTGACTTTAAGACTAATGTCAACTTCTAGCTTTCATATTTTTATAGAGGAGCAATAGATAGCACACACTTTCATCCATAGCAATGATACACGTACCTGGTCATAGAGTTTTGCTATTTCATGTGAAAATGTCCCCACTAAAATATCTAGCTTCACCAGGCACTGGTGGCTCACACCTGTAATACTAGCTACTCAGGAGGCTGAGATGTGAAGATTGTGGTTCGAATCCATCCCAGGCAGGAAAGACCATGGGACTTATCTCCAATTTATCACCAGAAAACTGGAAGTGGATCCATGGCTCAAAGTAGTAGAGCATTAGCCTTGAGCAAAAAAGCTCAGAGACAGTGTCCAGGCCCTAAGTTCAAGCCCCATGACCAACAAAGAAAAAAATATAGCCAGCTTCAGGGTTGGAGATACAGCTTAGTGGTAGAACATTTCGCTGCCTAGCACATACAAGGTCTTGGATTCTATCCCCAGCACCACACAAAAAATATTCTTGTTTAGGGCTGGGAAGGTGGCTCAGTGGTAGAGTGTTTACCTTGCATGCTTGAGGCCCTGGGTTCAATTCATCAGCACCACATAAGCAAAAAGCCAGAAGTGGCACTGTGGCTCAAGTGGTAGAGCACTAGCCTTGAGCTGAAGAGCTGAGGGACAGCGCCCAGGCCCAGAGTTCAGGCCCCATGACCGGACCCAAAATTAAAAAAAAAATTAAAAATAAATAAATAAATAAAAATATTCTTGTTTAACCAGGTTATATGTTGTTTGAAGTATCAAAATCAGTATCTGAGTTACCTAGGCATGTTTATCTATTCCTTAATAAGAGGCAGCCCAAAGAGATGATATTGTCCAAAACTAAATGTACTCATTACCTGGCTTATGAAATTATAAGCCCTCTGTATATCATCTTTACAACAACAATAAAAATATTATCAAAAACAGCACATCAGGCTGTCTCCATAATTTAGACATATGTGTGTGTATATAGAGGTATTCGTGTGAAGATTTCTTCACTAAATTGCTATTCCTTTGGGGAACATGAACATGATGTTTCTCTCGATGCTTCTGGAGTCGAAGAAAGGAAATGTGTCAAATCTATCCCCAGAGTAAATAAGGCTACATCAAACCACCAGCATCTTCCAACACTGGCCTTCACTCCCACTATACTACCATTTTTTTTTTGGCCAGTGCTGTGGCTTGAACTCTGGGCCTGAGCACTGTCCCTGAGCTGCATTTGTTCAAGGTTAGCACTCTACCTACCACTTGAGCCATAGCACCACTTCTGGCTTTTTTTCTGAGAAGTTTATTGGAGACTAAGAGTCTCACAGACTTTCCTACCTGGGCTTTCTTGCCCAGGCTGACTTCAAACCATGATCCTCAGTTCTCAGCTTCCTGAACAGCTAGGATTACAGGCATGAACCCATAATGGGCGCCCAGCCCCATTGCCCTTCTTATAATCTCCTATGGGCAATTATCTATAAGAAATGAATAAAATAAGATCCAGCTCACATGAATTATTGTTCTCAAAATGATGATGTAACACCTATCTTTTTCATGAGTCTAGATACCACAATTTGGGTTTTGGTAAGAGTCACATTGCTGGGACCCGAACAACTCTACAGAAAGTACTAGGAATTTGATGATCTTTCTTTTTTCTCAAGCTATCGCCTTCTATCACAATGAGCTACTCTTCAAACTACCACAACATAGCATAGAATATAAATGAGATAAAAATGAATATAAAACTAGAGATTCGTCTGATGTTGGTGGCTCATGCCTGTAATCCTAGCTACTTCAGAGGCCGAGATCTGAGGATCAGGGTCCAAAGCTAGCCTGGGCAAGGAAAGTCTGTGAGAATCTTTTCTCCAATTAACCATCAGCACACCGATGTGGAGCCATGGTTCAAAGTGGTAGAGTGCTGGCCTTGAGCAAAAGGGCTCAGGGAAGCACCCAGTCCCCAAGTTCAAGCTGCACAACTGACAAAAAATAAACAACCAAACAAAAAAAATCCTAGAGATTCTGTAACTGGCGAGTACTGGGTAGGTAATTAAGAATTAAATTAGAAGCCAAGCACCAGTGGCTCATGCCTATAATCCAAGATATTCTGAAGGCTGAGATCTAAAGATCCCAGTTCAAAGCTACCCCAGCCAGATAAACTTGAAAGATTTATCTTCAATGAACAAGCAAAGCACTGGAAGTGAAGGTGTGGCTCCAGTGGCAGAGTGCCAGCCTTGAGCAAAAAAGCTAAGAAAGAGCATGAGGCCCTGAGTTCAAACCGCAATATTCTTACCAAAAAAACCCACAACAAAATTAGATGGCAAATACATTATTCTTAAGTACTGACCTGCAAACCCCCTGCTTCTTGCTTGAGGAGGAGGTGGCATTGAGCCCATGGCTCGGGAATAAAGTGAAACCGGGTAGAGAGATGGTACCATGGGTGGTACAAAAGTCGGTGATGGAAGAAGAGCAGAAGGTGGTGGATGATTCATGTTGACTCCTTCAAGGATACTCTGCCTCATCTTTTCTACTTTGGTTGCCAGGTCAGCCTTTGAAAGAAAAGAGCACAATAACCACATCTGCTATTTTTCAAACTTTTCCCATGTGTCAGGTACTCTAGGTGCAATTTTCCATTCTATTTCCCCTTAAGAGAACTGAATATGAGGGCTGGGAAGGTGGCTCAGTGGTAGAGTGCTTGCCTTACATGCATGAGGCCCTGGGTTCAATTCCTCAGCACTACATAAGCAGAAAAAGCCAGAAATGGTGCTGTGGCTCAAGTGGTAGACTGCTAGCCCTTAGCTGAAGAGCTGAGGGACAGTGCCCAGGCCCAGAGTTCAGACCCCATGACTGACCCCCGCCCCCCAAAAAGAGAATTGAATATAGAGTTCAATGATGTCAGATTACATGCATAGGAAGGCTTCTGGAAAGGAAGCTGTCAGCTCCATGCATGAAACCACATCACGGTCAAGATTAGTTCCTGTTAAGGCCTACAGGACACAATAACCAAGTCAATGCAAATGGAATAAGGATATACTGATGGTTGATGAAAAAACTGGCAATAAGTAAGGCAATTTTTTTAAAGGAGAGGGAAGAAATTAGCTAAAAAAGAACAAGACCCTGATATATACAAAGCCTTTTAACCTCTGCCCCCAAATACCCAGGATTGGAGACCTTGAGTTTCTGACAGGATAAGTAAGTACCTCCATTTCAGAAGTGAACACAATTCTTCTCTAAAGTGCAGGATTGTAAATATTTAAAGTTTTGCAAACCACATTGTCTCTGCTACAATTATTCTATGCTAATTGTAACATAAGAGAAGTCACAGGAATATGCAAATGGATAAATGTGGCTGTACTGCAATAAAATTTTATTTATCAAAACAGAAAATAGCATGCATTACAAAAAGGAGGGTTGCTGAAACTAGTATGCCACACCTTGTTATAAGAGTGACTAAAGTTTTCCTTTCTTGCTTTCCCCCAGGTTTGCAAGTTTTTACTGCAATAAATTCCTTTGTTTCTATGTTGTCATCAATTTTATTTACTTTCTTCCATTTCGTTCTTCTGTGCATGGGTGTGTGTGTGTGTGTGTGTGTGTGTGTGTGTGTGTGTGTGTGTGCCAGTACTGGTACTTGAACTCACACTCTTACTTGGCTTTTTTTTTAATTGTGAAAATACCATACAGAGGGGTTATAATTACGTGGGTAAGGTAATGAGTACATTTCTTATCAAGCATTGTTGCCTCCTCCTTTGTTTCCCCTTCCCATCCCTTCCCATCTTCCACTCCCCCCCAAACTCCCAATGGCCAATGTTGTAAAGTTCGTTTTTCGACATAACGACTTGTATATCTCATTGTTGCAATGGGTCCACCTGTATCCATATTTAAACAATTTGCTTTTTTCCCTTCCCCTCCACAAATTATACCAACCTCAAATACAGTGAAAGCAGGGGTTAAACCATGGGGGAGGGACATACAAAGCAACAAA